GGATGAAGAATAAATTAAGTAGTGCCTTCATGACAACCCAGGTGTTAGTTGTTACAGACCTCAGAATCTGAAGAGAGTTTGTTTATAAATGGCCTTATGACTATCCTCTTCAGGATGGCTGAGATCACTCTCTCTTGATTTTCTGCAGCCAGCTTTTTACTCCCCTTGTGCTTGCTGTTATCAGCCACAACGGACAAGGGTTGACAAAAAAAGACAGTGTGGCCGTATAGTCAGAAGAACTGTGGGTTTGTGTTCTTTCTGTTAGGTACAAGATTTTATTTCCAGTCTCTTAAGTATTTTGTTCAGATTTTGTTTTAGATTTGGCTTAGACATTGAAAAATACTTCTTAATTCAAAGAGGAGTTAAACAATGGAATAATCTGTGCAAGGAAAATGTGGAACTTTCTTCTTCTCCTGTATATTTCAGTGGTCACTTGAGATAAAAATTGAGCTGAGGTATTAGGAGACACACTCAATTCCTGCAGTTGCAAAGGTCTTTAATTTTGTGCCTTATAATGTGAAGCACGCTTGTTATATCAGCATATTCTGTCTTAATTGCTGTTCTTATTGAGCAGTACGGTAATTAAGATGAAGATGGACTCCTTTCAAGGTGGTTTGCCAAGGACTATCTGTGGAATAGGATTCTTAATACAAAGTATGTAGCAAAGAGTCCTCAGTCATGTTCATTACTTCTTCAGGAATTCCAAAAATCTGATAGTATTGTTAAAAAGCATTGGCCAAACAGCAACAAAATATGAATGCATAAAAAAGAATTGCCTGTCTTCTCTATTAATTTTCAGGTAACAGCTTTTGTAATATATTGTAATAAAAAGAGTCTGTAACATAATATTTGTGTGTATCTGACACATAGATTGGCTCTGAGACTGCAGGAAACATTGGCTGAAATACTGTTTGGGTAGGTTTCATAGGGAGAGAGCATCAGAGATCATTGAGCCAAGGTACACAAAGTCATGAACAACCTCCAATTCTTGCATGGAGATGGTAATAGAGGGGGGTGAGTCCACGCCCTGGCCCATGACTTGTGTTTTCTTCAGGCTGATTGTTAGTCCAAAGTCTTGGCAGGCCTTGCTAAAACGATTCATGAATTATTGGAGGTCTTCAGCAGAGTGGGCAACAACAGCTGCATCATTGGCGAAGAGGAAATCCCGCATGCATTTCAGTTGGACTTAGGTTTTTGCTCTCAATCTAGAAAGATTAAAGAGCCTTCCATCTGATCTAGTCCAGAGATAGACACCTCCTGTTGCACGATACCATAATCTCTTGAGACTGAAGGATGCCTATTCCTAGGTTCCATAGCATAAGGCTGCTGACATCATCAGCAAGGGCAATTTTTTGGAAATTAAACATTTTCCTTTCCTGTCAGAGAGCTCTCATGGGCCTTGAGTAATCTCTTTCACCACCAGACACCTGTGTGGGCTGAGAACTGGGAGGGAAACAAAAAGTCACTATTGTCAGGATAACTTTAAAGTAAAGACTTCCTCCTCCCTTCTGTAGACCCTCGTGGTTCCCAAGAATGAAAGAGATTACTCAGAATCTACAGAGCTTTGTGGGAGGGGAGGGAAATGTTTAGTTTTCAAAAAAATTGCCCTTGTGCTGCAGAACTTACATAAATAGGATTTAAGCCTAGGTTACAAAGCTGAATAATTTAGAGACTTAGGTATCTGGATGCAGAACCAGAAGTTGGGAGTGCAGTTTCTCACTGTGCATCCCAGAAGAG